GTTTTAGTGAATTTCCTATTAGTGTGTTTTCTGTGTCTGCTTCATTTACTAATTGAGATCAGTATACCTCATTTACTAATTGAGATTATACTGATTATGTAATTTTGTAACTTAAAAAAATACAATAAAGGATTTTCAAAAGATGTTGAAACTAGTGGTCAGCATCATGTAGGTGGCCTTCAGTGGTTCGTCAGGTGGATATCCTAGTCACCTTATAACTTAACCCTTTGTGGGTTGGCCTTTTGCTAGTATGCACTTCCATTGCCCTGCACTGGGCATTACCATTTTTTGCCAATTGCTTCTTAGAGTGGCCATCAATGCATCTCACTGATCCGTTTCTTTCTCTGCCATCAGTTACAGCATTGGAAAGCATGCTGCTGCAGGAGCAAAATTAAATATTTTCTTTCATTTCTGAATAGAATCATTGATTTTATGCGTAGATTTGGTAATGCAGAATTTTAAGGAACTTAAATGATCTTTTTAGTTCCCAGAGATTTGAGCCTCTTGTGCAAAGTACTCCTAAATCACTTTCAGGACTTCTTGCATGCGTTTTTGAGTGTCACTTTTGCCCTTTTGTTTTCTTGAGCTTAGCCGCATAAAATGGGTTAATACTGGCATTGTTTTGCAATCCTTTCTTTTTTACTCTGACAACTAGGGAATGGTTCAGATAAGCCATAGTCCAAGACAAACTGTTGTGTCATCAGAGAAGACCCTTTGATCTTAGTGTACTTCTTGGAGCAGCCTAGTGTGTTTTGTGGTTGCCGGAATCTGTATGTGAAACTTGTTAGGAAGGTCGGAGGATTTTGATATGGTTGGAGGTGTCTGAGTCTTTGTGTCATGTGTGTTACTCCTTCAAGTGTTTGCCAGCCTTCGATGCTGCGTTAGTGGCTAAAGTTTAATTTGTGATGCTGGAGGTGCTCATTTGTGGCCAATTCACAGAAACTGATTGGACTTTTGCCAATGAGTTGCCAAGAGAGTAGTATAAGTAGTCTTTTTTTCACTTTCTTCTTAAAAATGAGGAACAATAGCTGTCAGCAATAATTTCCTCAATTTATCTCTTGCAGAGGACCTAGTTGCTTGCCACAGTTGACCTTCTGGTTTCAGGGAGTGGTAGAAGACTTATGTTATTGCTTCCTGGATTTTGAGGTAGTCCTTAGTATTTGTTTTAATAGTTTTGTGTTTTTCTGAGCCGAAATCATTTAATGCAAACAAATCATTAAGACTAATGAATACTTTTTTTGGAGAAGTTGGCACAAGTCATTATTATCTAGTTGATTAATGAATCATCATTAATGGCATTTAACGATACAACATTGAACATTCTCTTTTCCTTTTAACTCAGTGACTCTTAGAACCCAGAGTTTCTGAGTCAGTAGGTCTTAGGTAGGGCCCCGGGAATTTCCATTACTAATAAGTTCCTGGGTGATACTGATGTTGCTGCTATGGGGAACATTTTGAAAAGGGCTCAAAGTTCTAGGCTCCTAAGAGGTTTTATATCTGAAACAAAATTCTTTAGTGACTGGCGAGCCTTCTCATACAGTCTAGGTTGTCACAATGTCATACTGCCCTGGTTTGAAATGGACGTTGGTGGATGGCTTTTTGGGAGTGCCAGACAGCATATGGTTCACAAAAGATGGGAGGCTTTTTGGAGATAAAGGCACTGTGCACAGTCAGTGCTGTGTAGCCTATTAAGAGGCTGAGCTGAAGTTACCCAGTCTGCTGAGCAAAGGACTCTGGAGTGTGCTGTACTTTACCCTTGGGTCTTTCCAGACATGTTTGAAAGCCGAGATAAACAGCATCACCAGTCATATAATTGTAGAACATTAAAAAACTAACAAATGCCAAAAAGGATAAAATTTGTTTTATGGCATCTAAATGTGAACTGGAGTTACACAGTTTCTTAGGATAGAATCCTGGTATAAAATTGGCCATGGTATCAAATGGGAATTTTAATTTTAGTCTTTGACAGAGTTAGTGTCAATCCTTTAGAGAGTAAGTGCTAAAATAATATTTCATCAGAAAGCTTGCAGGAATGTGGCAAGACTCCTGCACAGCCTTGAGTGTCTTTACCAAATTACAGCCATCTCAAATCCTCACTAAAATAAGAAATAACGTTTCATGCAAGTAGTGGTCTGAGCATCTTTTTGATATGTGCAGATGAAAGGCCTTCTAGGAGAGATTGTTCTTTGATACAATTCCCAGTGAGAGAAGAGCCTTGCATGTATTTATCAGCATTTCTGCTTGCCCAGTGCATTTCCTCATACGTTAAAATGAAAACTGTCAAGTCAGATGATCCATATGTGAAGTATTTTATCAAATCATTCCGAGGAGTCAGTGTAGGCCTTTTGACAGCCAGTTTGTATGAGGCATGTGTACAAGGAAATGTTTTAATTTTACTTCAGAAGGGCCAGGATGTTACCAGAGCAGTGGCTTGCAAACAGCCTGGCATAAGGGAGGTGGGAGGCCATTGGAGAGTTTACTTTGGTTCAGTTCCACAGACGCTCAGCTACAGTTTTAGAGTCGGTTTCCCAATTGCATGGCTCTTGCCAGAGGCGCAGTCTGCCAAGTCACACACAGAGTTAGTTTTCGTCTTCCTCCAGGGTTTGGGGCTATTCACTTCTCTCTAAAGCCGAGGCATGAAGATGGAGGGACGGGGGAAGAGCAAGAAGCACTGTTAGTAATTCATTTGAAAGGGGTTTCTGTTTAGTTAAAGTACTAGTCAGCAGACAAGATAGTGTAGGATTAACTAACTCAAAAGAATCTTTTGAGTGTTTTAGCTAAGAATAAATTTTTATCTATTTTAATCAGAGATGAAATGTTAGAGAACAAATAGCCTGTATATTACTCGACAAAGACATCTTTCAAATAAATTTTTGAAACATTTACATGGTGAGATAAATTAGGGACGTCTTCTTTTTCTTTTTAAGTAGAATCCTTGTTGGTGTTTATAGGACAATAGGTTTCCTCAACTTGTTGAGGTCCCGTGATTTTAGAAATAAAACAATATTTTTAAAAGAAATAAAGCAATTATAGACTCAAACTTGTGGTTTTGCTTTATATTCCTCGTCCCCCAGCAGGTAAGATGTGCACAGGATACACAAGATTGAGTCAACCAGCATATTCAGTTGGACTTCTTTAAGCAAGTCTCTAGTTATTTCCCCTGGGCCTCTGGTTCTGGAAGCTTTTATTTTCCTTTTTAAGTTTAAAAAATAATAGTAAAAGGAATTTTGAAAAACAAAGCTCACTTTCCCAAAACCATTGGCTTTTTTTCTAGGGGGTGGGGGTATTTTTTATTCTTGGTTTAATGACATAAATATTTTACAAACCTATAATCATAGAATAAAATTTTGTGCTTTTTTAAAACTTAAAATTGGATCACGATTTATTGATGTGTTGAAGTTTTCAGAAGTTATTTTGGAATTATTTTGATTGTTGAACGTTCTGTTGAAATGATGAACTATAATTTACCAACCCCCACATATTATTGAATCTTGAGGTTGATTTTGATTATTGGTGTGTCTGATAGTGTAGCAGTGAACATCTTGTTGATTCAACTTTTATTCTTTTGTTGAAATTAGGGTGAAAAAACAAATTATTTTTATGGCGCTTGGTATGTTCCATTAACTTTTAAATTAGAGTTTTTTTGAATTGGGGGACTATCTCTAAATTTACTAAATGGAGAATTGAAAATTACATGAAGCATAAAAATGTTGAGCTTTCTGAGGCAGGCATAACTTTTCAGGCTCTGGTCAGCACTTTCACTGAGAACCAGCTAGCTGTGCAGTGGGTGCTTAAGATGACTTGTTGTCTCCTGGTATTGCAGGTAGTATTGATTAAGTTGGATAAAACAGCTACCAGAACCAGAATAGGACACTTGAGCCTAAATTAGTGAACTAAAAATAAATTTGGTTTCTTAGCCATAGGATTTGGTTTATTAAATTGTAGGCTAGGCAACAAGTTCTCAAGCCACGGAGTACCAGTACTTCATTTTTTCTGGCATTAGAACAGTGTTATTCATAGTGATGGTTCCATTTGTAAACTAGATCATGCCCTGCTTGGCTTGTGAATGCCTAGTAATAATGTGCCTTAATTGCAGGTCAGTGAAGCCAAACTAATTGCTTGTTGGGCGCTTGGATTGCCTTTTTAATTTGCTGTATAATACAGTCTCTACCAGAAATGCACAATGTGTTATCTACATAAAACTCATTAAAATCATCTTATAACAACAGAATGCCTGATATTTTGTCCATAATCTTGCACATAAAAGAAAATTGAATGGCTTTACAGAGAGTTATAATTTACAAGTACTCTTTTTTAAGTGCTTTTGTATCCATTTTGGAAGGTGTACATAAAATGACTGCTATGGTTTATAGCAGCGTGATGGTTTTCTTTACCAAGGATTGATTTGCTTTGCGCTTTTAATATGTTTTAGATGACAATAATGACATGAGCTTTTGAGACGGTCACTTATTTTAGACTGTGCAGTTCACCCGATAAGATTAGTATTCATCTGGTGACTTTGCATTTCAGTGAAAAAAAAAAAGTCATCTCTACTGTCATTTTCAGCTCACGAAGTGCCAGTCATGGGGATTACCCTTAAAGTTTGTAGGAACAAGTGTTCATAAGTCGATATGATGGTTAACACTGCAGTGTTTGTTTCCTCTCAGTTTCTCTGGGCCAACAAGGCAACTCTGCAGAGTACTAGCTTTCAACTCCTTGATTGCTAATTTCATTCATTTAGCTAATATTTATTGAGCAGTTACTGAATGCCAAGAACTGTTGTAGATGTTAGGGATACCTTGGGTTTTTTTTTTTTTTTTCTGTTTATGATAAATATTTAGCTCTAGAGAAAAATCTTTGAGGTGAATCTAAGAGCTTTTAAAATGATCTTAGAAATAGAGTAATATATTAAGAAGCTTCTAGTAAAAGATTTAATAGATGCGTATGTCAGGTTTTTAATAGAAATTAGTCAATTACCTGTTTTTCTTTTCTTTTTGTAGGTTATTTCTTATGAGAGTCATGGATATCCCCTATCTAAACTTGGAAGGCCCAGACTGTAAGTGAATTTTTATTTTCTCATTGCATCTGCACATTTAAGTGTGTGGTCTGGAAAGGATAACAGGAAAAGTATTACTGAAGAAAGAGCTTTATTCACTTAAAAATAGGCAGTGATTTTGTGGTTGATATGAATAGTATGCTTAAGTTAATGGTACCCTTGGGCCATGATTAATTCATCTCTTTACTTACATTTTCCAGTTGATGCATGAGTTGAATTTTTAAAAAATATATCTTCATTATTTCATTTTTACTCAGAACTCTAAATTTGTAATTTCTTCTAAGTATATATATATAAAAGATTTTAACATGTGCTAGCTGTGTCAGTAACAGTAAGTTCTCTATTTTCCACTTATCTGTGTATGTATATATTTAAGTTTAGTAGGTTGATTTCTTTTTTTCATTGAAAACCTATTTGGGAGGTAGTTACTCCTCCTTCTGATTATTCTCTACTTTATCCTTATCACCCCACTCTTCTTTTCCATTGCTTTTCTCCTAGCCTTGGTTTGTTTGCCTTAATAGCTGCCATAGGGATATAGAAACGAGTGAACTGTACTTGATGATAGTAATCGTCGCAGTGATAGTTCGGAGACATACTGTGGTGCACTCCATATCAGACTTACATTTTAATTTTTAATCTGTCGTTCTCGCAACAATTCTGTGAGCTAAACATTGTCATCCCAGTTTAGAGCCACGTGTGGCTAGAGTGGTTAGGTCCCTTGCTTAGAGTTGCACAGTTTAGTGGTGGGTCCCGGCTTAGAGCACAAGATTGTGACTCAGGACTGCCTCTACTTAAACTCAGTCCGTTTAATTTGCACAGGGTGTTATTTTTTTAGCTAAATAAATATGGACAACTAGATTAAAAGGAGAAAGTTAAATTTTAGTGAAAATTCTTGAACAGAGCAGCCTTTTTTTTTCTTTAAATAATTTTCACAGGAGCTTTATGAGCAAAGATGTTTCTGCATAGAATTGCTAGGGTTCAGATTGTTGTGGGTTCTATAAAATCTGAGGTTCAGGCTAAGATGACAGAGTCCTGTTATTCCTGACGATACTTGTAGGAGTTGTTTGGTCATCATCAGGCATTCATAACGATTCCCCAAGTTAGCTTGGGCTTAGTTTCATCAAAGAACCACTGGTGTATTACTCACTTTTCAGCTATCAACCTTCATCAAAAATTTGTCTTGTAGTGCAACCTAAACGCGATCACGTTCTCCACGTGACATTCCCCAAAGAATGGAAAACCAGCGACCTTTACCAGCTTTTTAGTGCCTTTGGTAAGTAAATCACAAGTACAAATGTACTTTTAGGATTTTGCTATTCTTTTGGTCTAGGTGGTCTGAAGTATATAGATGGCTTCAGCTTGGGCATAAAAGTATATTAATATGCAAGGTTTTTAATCTCACGGAATTGTAGGGGGTTTGGTATACTGCTATCTTTGTACTAATATGATCTGAGGAGCTTTGAATAGCACCCCACAATAGAGTGCTATTATTAATCCGTGGAAAGCAAGATACAATTACTATAACTGCCCTTACTGCTGACCATGGAACATAAGTCGAGGCTGAGGATATATCATTTTTAAGATTAAATTCAGAGGGAATGTCTGTTTCATAAGGGCAGGCGGTCACTGCTTGACATTGAAGAGTCCAAGCAGATGAACACAGATGCTTGAGAGGACCAAGTTATGTGATAGGTGTGAAGTAGGGCAGTTCTTCTGTTTCCTTTTCACCAGGCCAGGCGATTAGGTTGAACTGAAGTCTTCTGATTAGGGTTTATAAAGACCATTCTGATTGTAAGTCTTCAGCTGTGCCTCTTTATTTTAACAAATGAAGTATTTAAGCTGTTCTCTTTGGAAATTCTTGATAAAGTGAAGGCAGCAAAAACCTAAATATCCAATAATAAGAATGTTTAGTAAATGTTTATGTATCTCTTCAACAGATTAGTATGTAGCTATTTTAAAAATTTTTGAAGAGTTTATTAGAAGATGGTAATGTGTTTATATTTTAGAGTGAAAAACAGATACAAAGTAGGATTCCTATAAAACATTATTTTTAAAAAAACTTTGTATAAAATCAGACTGAAAGGAAGCATCAAGCTATCATCACTGAATGTTTTAGATAGGATTTTTTCTTTTTATGCTTTTCTGTATTTTCTAAAATAAGCGTATATTAGCTTTTTATAAGTAAAGAACTTTACACACCTAAGTTTTAGAAAAGTAAGGAAAAGCAGGTATATTTCTGGAAAGTTATCCTAATCTTTGCAGATAGTCTAAAAGACTTCTGAAATTCTAGTTCTGCTTTTAATTTAAATACAGATATAGAAATGCAGTTGAATTTTACAGCTCATTTCTTTTAAAAGCTTTTGATGTTTCTCATCTGGTACTCTTAAGTTCTTATCCTTACGTAGTTAAACTTTAATTGGCTAAATTAAATAGAATGCTCCAAGTAGAATTTCTTTTTCGTTTTAATTAAAAAAAAAAAAAAAGTTGGGGGCTGGCCCAGTGGCACAGCAGTTAAGTTCGAGTGCTCTGCTTCAGCGGCCCAAGGTTCGCAGGTTCGCATCCCGGTCACGGAGTGATGCACTGCTCGTTAAGCCGTGCTATGGTGGCGTCCCATATAAAGCAGAGGAAGATGGGCACGAATGTTAGCCCAGGGCCAATCTTCCTCAGCAAAAAGGGGAGGATTGGCAACAGATGTTAGCTCAGGGCTAATCTTCCTTACAAAAAAAATTAGCTGTGTGATATTGGACAAGTAACCTCTCTGTATCTTTGTTTCCTCACCACAGATAATGATGATGATGATAGTAATAATACCACCTATTTCCTAGGCATATCACGAGGATTAAATGAGCTAATCCATGGGAGGCATTTAGAAAAGTATGTGGTGTATAGTAACTACTTAATAAATGTTACCTATTGTTATTTATCTAAAAGACAACAGACGGGGTAGAGAGGTAATGAAATAATTACGTGACTTTTGTAATTGAGCAAGTCATTACAGCATCTCACTGTGCGGCAGGAGTTAGTTTTTTTTCCCTATGACAGTGAAACAAAGCCGTTTTCAAGCATTCCTAGCCTTCCAAAATTTTAGTAGCAATTAAAATACTTTTTCATTGCTAAATTCTGGTGATGTTTACCCATTTTTTTAAAATTCCAGTCTTCTGTGTTTTTTCAAGAAGAGTGGTAGCAGAATAATTAGGTCCCTGCTTTTCCCCTGGGTTTTCTCCAGCTTCCTCCCCCCTGCCCCTCTCCTCCTCCCTTCTCAGCACTCTCCTGCATTGCATTCTGTTTGCGTTTCACCTTTATTGAAGATTTGTCTCTCAGCGTGTAAAAACCATCGTGTTTCACTAATACTGCTTTCTGCCCCTCTTTTTCTTTTCTCTGTTAGTCTGTCTTGGTTTTCTCTCTCTGACGCCTTCTTTTCCTTGTCCTCCATTCTGTTGTTTTCTTTACTTGGCCTTGAGATCAACATTGGATTTTTCTTGTTTCTTGCTACATTAATTCATTTCATGTTTCCCATTAGCACTTTTCAAAGTTTGTATCTCTAAAAAATAGCTGTGTTTTTGTTTGTTTGTTTGTTCGTTTTTGTGAGGAAGATCAGCCCTGAGCTAACTTCTGTGCTAATCCTCCTCTTTTTGCTGAGGAAGACGGGCTCTGTGCTAACATCCATTGCCAATCCTCCTCCTTTTTTTCCCCCCCAAAGCCCCCCAGTAGATAGTTGTACGTCATAGTTGCACATCCTTCTAGTTGCTGCATGTGGGACGCGGCCTCAGCATGGCCGGAGAAGTGGTGCGTCGGTGCACGCCCGGGATCCGAACCTGGGCCACCAGTAGCAGAGTGCGCGCACTTAACCGCCAAGCCACGGGGCCGGCCTCAATAGCTGTGTTTTTGAACTTACATAGTCTCTGATTTTTGTTAGGGTCTTGATAGGAAAAAAGTCTCCAGCCCTGGCATGAGATTGGGTTGAATGATGAAGTGCCCCAGGATTTATTCCAGAAGGACCTTTCTTTTGTTTTTAAAACAAATTTTTAAAGCTTCTTTTTTTCCCTGGTTTGTCTCTTTTCTTGAAGTTCTAACTGAAATAACTGCGGTGGTAGATTTAAGTTTCAGCTCTCTGTAGTGCTGAGATTTTGATCAAACTTTAAACCAGCACCTCATCTCTCTTTAGGTTAACACATATGCTAAAATATATCAGATGTACAAATGAAATCTTTTTTTTTATTTTTTTATTTTTTTTATTTTTCCCCCAAAGCCCCAGCAGATAGTTGTATGTCACAGCTGCACATCCCTCCAGTTGCTGTATGTGGGACGCAGCCCCAGCATGGCCGGAGAAGCGGCGCGTCAGTGTGCACCCGGGATCCGAACCCCGGGCCGCCAGCAGCAGAGCGCTCGCACTCAACTGCTAAGCCATGGGGCCGGCCCTACAAATGAAATCTGATAGCTATCTAAATGGTCAATGTTCACTTTACCTTTAATTTGATATGACAGGTAACATTCAGATATCCTGGATTGATGACACATCAGCATTTGTGTCTCTCAGCCAGCCTGAACAAGTACGAATTGGTAAGTGTTTTGGACATTTGTGTGTTAATTAAAGTGGGAGCTTGCCCTCCTTCCCTCCCACCCCAGTCTAAATGTTGTGGGTTCAGTCAGCTGATTCACAAGCATTGCTGCCTGGTTTGTTTGAGCTTGTTTCTATAATAAAGGAAATAATTAGTATCATGTGTAGAAGAGAAAATAAGAAATTCATTGATTTATTAGATATACTGCATAATATATTGTTTCACTTCCGTTCTGTTCCTTTCCCGTTGCACTTTTTCTAAAATGAGTTGCAGATTTACTTTGAGAAGTAGGAGTAGCAAATTGAGCAGAATGGGGAACACCAAAAAGTGACGCCTGTATTGACACGTTTGTCTCTGTACTTACCCATTTATTTATAAATTTTTGTGATTTATTCATTGTTAAATTGCATCAAATACTTGTTTTACAAACAAACTGAAAGGTATTTTATTTGCTTTTAAAATAGTATTGTAAAAAGGTGCAGCACCACCTCTCCCATTGGACCCTAAATAATTTTGATATTAACCATCACAAAACATTCTGTTTTCCTAGGATGAAAAGTTATTGAATAAAATATTGAAGAAAATATATATCGTGAAGCTATTGATTCAATAGATCTCAAGTTCCCTGGTGCTTAATTATGTAGAAGGTGTGAAATTTTTAAATGATATGTCTAATTAATGTTTTCCTCTTATTTAACAAAGTGCCACATAGTAAAACTATGTAATTCTGATAATGTAACTATATGAGTAATTGTATATGAAAACTTCTACAAATATACAAATTCATACAGAATATTTTGGTTTTTTTCTTTTGATTATATGACCATGGCAGGAACATAGGCTGTGTGGTAGGCAAGCAAAGCTTGGGCTCTGGAATCATACTGCTGCACTGCCTGTGGGGTGTGACCTTGGGCAAGTTAACCTTCATAAGCTTCTGCTTATCTACATGACCTGAGGATGGTAGTGTGGACTTCTTAGGGTTATTCTGAGGATTCCATGAGATTCTGTGTATAAAGCTTGGCTTACTTTGAACTTTTATTATGGTTATTTAACAGTAGATTTCCATGTGAAATGTACTTGAGGAGCACATGACACCAGGAATAGTGTCAGATACAGGGTTTTAATGATGTTGCTTGTTAAATGTTTTAATATTTGCTTATTTCTGTGAGCAGTTCCCCCACAATCCTAAAAAGACAGTTTAGATGGACAAAAAGGGATTGAATTATTAAGAGAGCTAAAGATAACTTCAAGTGGGGGCAGGGACTCTGAGATCAAGACTGTAGTGAGACTTCATTGTGGCTGAAAAAACACCGAACGAGAACTCTTGACCTCAAGTCTAGTCACACCTCCTCCACTCAGTGTCACACTTCAGCTCCCTTACTGGTCACATTCGGGTGACATTGCAGCCGTGCGAGGGATGGAAGGAGGTGCACAGGCTTTGAAGTCAGGCTTGCCTCCACTGCTTGTCGGCCACACGCCTTTGGGCAAGTTATGTAAACTCGCTAAGCCACGGATTCCTCATTTGAGAGATGGAGATGATGATGTGCCTTTGTGAAATGAGATCATGGATATTAAGTTCCCAGCAAGAGCCTGGCACTCCACAAGCAGTGCTTGACAAATGGTAGGTAATTATTAAAATATCTAGTTGGCCTCCCTTGCTGTGAACAGTAGAAATGAGAGTGTGTAAACGTGCTTTGAAATCTGTAAAACACTACTTAGTGGTATTTACTTGAAAATACAAGCATAATTCCTTGTTTATTTGTGTGGGGTGGCAAAGCTTCCTTTAATGTTCCTGTTATAGCACATTTGATATTCAGTAATGATTGCTCCCTTACTTATTATTGAAAGATCCTTCAAACAGTAGCTTTTAAGCTCAGTACTTTATTCAGCGATACCTGAAATCAGGGAGCCCCTTTTCAGAATCATGTAGCTACAAGAAGCACTCTGATTTGATTGTCTGCCCAGGTTTGTTGCTTCCCTGAGGGCAATACTGAGTCCCTTTTGTTCACACTGAATCCTGCTCCAGTGCCTGGTACACCTGTGGCATGAGTAAATATATGTGTGTTTGAATGGGTAGTATGGTGAGTAGGCCAAGATGCAATTGTGACCTTTTTACGTTTTTTCCTCCTGGATTAAGAAGTGGATGTTGTCTTTTGATATATGCAGCTGTAGTCTCTTTTCTTATACAAAAGACAACTCTTAACATAAATACTTGGCCATTTGCATGTGCTGTACCTATGACCATAGCTTTCTTTGCCTGAAGCCATCTTGTACTCAACCCATCCCCTCCCTCCAGAGCCTGGCTGTACGTCCTTCTCCCCTCCTCATCTCAGCTTAAACATCTGTTTCTCGGGACGTCTTCTCTGGCTCCCTTGGCAGGGGCTTGGACCCTGTTTTCTGTGCTAGCCTGGCATCCTTTACTGACACACCTTGTTTGTCTTCCCGGATAGACTGTAAACTCTTTGAGAGCAGGGACCATATCTCTTGTTCACCATTGTGTTTTCAGTGCTTAGAGTCGTAGCGTCTGACATTAGTAAGTATATATTAATTATTTATTACACTGAATAAATGATATTCAAGGTAATTAGACTTAGAAATGCCTTTTTTGCACGTGATGGATATATCTAATGTCTGTGGTCTTTTGCCGTGATTTCTAAAATTATGCAGATGTTTCATTGAAAGGCAATGTAAAATTTGTTTTTTATAGTGGTAATTCTAATGATGAGAGAGACCTAGGGTATCTAATGTGCTGCAAATCCTATTAATGTTATCTTAAGGAAATTACTTATTCATTTCAGTGGAAGCAGAAGGGCTGTTAGATCAATAATGTAACATTGGAAAAATCATTAAATGCCTATTTATATAGCAGCTTGTAATGGCTTCTTTGGCTCTGTTACAAGCTGTTTTTGATTTACATTTAAGGAGTTGCTTTTTAACTGACACCTGTCTTTTTCTTTGATAATTCTAATACTAATCAAGATTTTTTTTTTTAATGGTGATACAGTAATTTCTTCTTTAGTAATTAAGAAGATTTTTTTTCTCTTAAAAAAATGTGTCTTCTAGTAGCATATTTTGAAGAAACAATCATGAGGGCTAATCAGGATTTTTTAAAAACCATTTTTAGCATCTTGAATATGAAAGTTCTCTTGCTCTAGGAAACCTTATTATATTAATTATTAAAACCCTCAACCAAGTGCCATTTGCTTTGATTCCTGTTGTTTTTTGTTTGCTGCTACTGTGAAGATGAGGGTCCCTGGTGGCTTTGGCATTCAGATGGTGATAACCGGGACAAGCTGTAGGTTCAGCGTTCTCCCTGTGGTTCTTCAGATGGGATAGTATGTGGCCAGTGTGAGACTTGATGCCAAGGAGATCACTTAGCCTCACTGCTTGAGAATTTTTCTCAAAAGTAGTTGAGTAAGAAATCACCTTGAATGGTAACATCTGAATAGCTCATTCAGATTTTTGTATTCCTAATGTAGTTTGGTTAAATGAGAGAAGAGCTCAACAGTATTTCAAAAGTCGTGGAACTTGCTCGTCATACCCTCAATATTTTGACGTTGTCTTGAGTGTCCTGAAGTGCATTATAAGACCTTATCTCTCTGCTTGTAATTTTTATAGAAATAGCTGGAGAAAAATAAACTTTTCAGTTATTTTGAAAGCTGGGGATGGGAGATTCACACTGTGAATACTAGAAGAAATTTTTAAAAAGCAGAAATTGATAAAGGCATGTTAGAAGAGGAGAACCTAACAATTATTTTGTAAAGCCAGCCCAAATTCAGGTAGTTATATAAATTCCTGATACGCTACCTTAGGAGCTTGTTCAGGATGATTTGTTGGGATGAGGGGAGACACTTGGCTTCACTTCAGTCCAAAGCATGAGTGTGCTTATATTAAATCATACTTCTCAAAGCACAGCTTTTGATTGTGCTGAAAAGATAAATATTAGGGTTGTGGATATGACTCTTCTGAGGTGATTATTCAACATTGTATTTGCTAAAAGGCTGCTTATAACTTTAAAATTTACCTGTGCTTTTTGTTATCTTTTTAATGTTTGCAGAATCTGTAGTGATAACTGCTTTTCATTCGTGATATTGGCGACGTGAGTTCTCGTTTTTCCTTGATTGCCCTAGCTAGGGTTACTGATTTTGTTGATCTTTTCAAGAACCAGCTTTTGGCTTAGTTCATTTTTCTGTATTGTTTGCTATTGTCTATTTTGTTGGTTTTTGCTTTTCTTTCTCTCTTTTTTCTTCCTTTTACTTGCTTTGAATTTACTTTGACCTTCTTTTTCCAGCTTCTTGAGCTAGAACCTTAAATGATTGATTTTTTTTTTTTAATTCTTCTAAAAATTTTTTAAGCCTGGCTTCCTAGAGGTTGCCCCTGGACCAGCCAGTGATTGGTCAGCTGTTGTGCTTAAACACCGTGGGCCAGTAAGGCTTCCGCCCTTTGCCAGCTGGGTTGGGGAACACATTCAGCATTCAAGCAGTTTACAAGTCTGCCCCAGTTTTACTTCTGGCTGTACCTTCTCATCTCCTGTGTGGGTGCACAGAGCCTCACCCCCAGCTAGCAGTGTGTATATAGCTAAGACTCTCTCCAAATCATGATTTTTGACATTTTGTTTTGTTTCTAATACAAACGTTTAAAGCTATAATTTATCCTCTAAGCACTGCTTTAGGTGCATCTCACAAATTATATGTTGTAATTCCATTATCATTAAATTAGATAAATTTTCTAATTTCTCTTTTGACCCTGGATTCTTTAGAAGTGTGTTGTTTAATTTCCAAGTACTTAGAATTTTCCTAGCTCTCTTATTGTTACTAATTTCTAATTTAATTATGTTGTGATTAGAGATTTCTATATGATTTCAACCCATTTAGATGTACTGAAACTTGCTTTATGATCTAGCATAAGGTCTATCTTGCTGAACATACTATGTGCACTTGAAAAGAATGTGAATTCTGGGGTGTATGGTTTGGTCTATAAATATCACTGTTGTTCAGTTAT